CACAAGGTCTTCAAGATTCCTTTTAAAGATTGAATAATGTTCTCTTCATTTTTAAAAGCTCTCTTTTTCCTGTGTTTCATTTTGAATAATTAATATTGTTATGTCATCAAGTTTACTATGCCTCAGCAGCATCTAATTAGCTCTTAATCCCATCCAACATGTTTTTTATTACGTATCTTTGCAATTTCTTTTCTAGAAGTTTGAGTTGGATCTTATGTGTCCATATCTCTTATTTCACTTTTTGAACATATGTAATGCAGTTATCATATCTGTGTTAACATCCTTATCTGATAATTTTATTAACTGTCTGTTCTGGGTCAATTTCAATTGATTTTCTACATGTTGTAGGTGAGTTTTCCTACTTCTGTGCATGCCTGGTCATCTTTGATTGGTTCCCACACATAGTGATTTTACCCGTTGGGTGCTGAATACTTTTGTATTCCTATTAACATTCTCCCACTTTGTTGAGGGATGTAATTAAATTACTTGAAAACACTCTGATCTTTTTGATTCTGCTTTTAAGATGTGTTTGGCTGAACCAGAGACATGTTTAGGTTTAGGGCAGGATTTCTCCATATCAGCACTAATTTTTTGTTGTGAGGGACTGTCCTATGTATTGCAGAGTGTTTTAACAGTATCCCTAGTCTCTAGTCTTTAGATGAGCCCCTAGCTGTGACAACCAAAAATATCTCCAGAAATTGCCAAATGTTTTGGGTTGCCAATTGCCCCCAGTTGAGAGCTCCTGTTTTAGGGTTAATTTTACCTTTCTACTATGGAAAGATCTTGCTGTGTACTCTGCCCAGTGCCCCATGAATCATGAGATTTTTTTTTTTCCAGCCTGGTTGTTTGCAGTAGGCGCTTTTAGTGATCTTGTGTGAGTACTAGGCATTATCGCCTTTAATCTTGGTGGTTCTTTTTTCAGTCTTGTTTGGTTTCCTCACATACAACTGTTGATCAGCATTCAGCTTCCTGTTCAAGGGAGATCCTTTGCAAATCTCTGGAGTTCCATCTTCATCTACGTACAGTGTTATAACAAAAATACTGTAGGCTGAGTTCCGTAACACATCTATTTCTCATGGATCTGGAGGCCAAGGAATCCAAGATCAAAGTGCCAGCAGATTTGGTGTCTATGAGGTCTACTTCATAGTTGGTCTTCTTTTATCGGTGTCTTTACATGGCAGAAGGGCTGAGAGAACTCTCTGGGGTATATAAGGGCATTAATTCTGTTCATGAGTATTCTGCCTTAATGACCTAATCACCTCCTAATACTATCCCACTAAGGGTCAGAATTTCAATATAGGAATATAAGCATTCAGTCTATAATATGTTTTGTCTTTCTCCTCTCTTTTATTCTATCCCGTGTACACTAGCCACCTTGATTTCCCTAGACTCTTACTTCCATCACAACTCACGTAGTCTGCTGGGCCTCACCCAGTTTATATCCTGCATCACTCGTACATGGCAGGGGGTAGTAGGGCTCATCTTGTTTCCTCCTCTCAACCATCTCCTTGTTGTCTCGTGCCAACTGTCTTGACACTGGTTTTCTCTCCATATATTTTGTCTATATTTTGGCTGTTTCAGGCAGAAAAGTAAATCTGACTTCTCTTATTGCATCTTGGTCAGAAACAGAAGTCCCTTTAACTGATAGTCGATTCATATTAATTATTGATTAAAGCTGAAAGTATACTGAAATGTTTACTAATTTTTTCATTCTGTAGATTTGTATGAAATCTATAGCTGTCATATTCTTCATTAAAAGTTTCCTGTTCCCTGTAGGTCCTTTGGTACAACAAAAATATTATGTTGTCCTGAAGCCTTTTATCATCTTTAGTGCAGGTTTTCATAGTGTTAACTAAATATGGGGCTCTGACTGTATGTAGCAGCATAGAATTAAAGGGCGTGCCCTGACCTGATGAAGTACAGCAGTGCAATGTGTCATGCTTTTAGGGCATTGCCACAGCAGGTTCAAAGACTTCTAGGAAGCTTTCTTGTACGATAACTCGTATTTTCTAGCAGCTGAAACACCAGCATCAAAGCCTGTTTGTTAGTTAGATTGAGGATATAAAGAACAAATTGTTAGCCAGATTGGAGGTGATAAAAGGCAGGGAAAAAAAAATACGAGAGTGATCATTTTGAGCAGTATATGAAATGAAACTCTACTGAAGAATAAGGCTAAAAGGATGGGAGTGACTTGGAACCCACTGGTGGTAAGCTGTTAGAAAAATGAGAAAGTGAAATAGAAATAAAATGACAGAGGTATCTGGCCTTATTTTGTATGAGATGAGCCTCTTGTACTTTTTACATTGTAATTGTTTCAGAGTTCATAGCGTGCACTTGTTGGATATTCAGGGTTGAAATAATTTATTCAGAGAATACCTCAGGGAAAAGATATGTATGTGGTATGTAGGATGAAGCCATCTGGCTGTCTATATGGATTAAAACATAGCAAAATCATTTAAAATGGAGCTATATATACATGTAATAAGTGATATAAAATTATATACATCAATGTGTGTAAATTCCATGAGTTGAAGTGAATAAATCATAATTCCCTGTCCTTTGGGGTGGTGATGCTATATTGTAGGTAAAAGGATTAAGACTGGAAAGCTATTGTGGCTTTTGGAAACACTGATTTAAGGTTTCCAAAAACTAGGTTTGCTTTGTAGTAATCAAAATATAAACATTTAATGAGCATGTTTCTTGTTGGCTGAATATTTTTGATGGTGTAAAAAGTATTTATGTAGTTGAGTATCTGCCTTTTTCAGGTAATTTTAAGTATTCATGGCAAGAGTTTGTGTTGGATAGAAGAATGCAGAAATAGCAGCTTTTTACTTTTCCTCCGCATAAGGAAGCATAGAAGGTTTTCATAGCCAAAAATGCTGCTGATAAGGGAATGATAAGCACTAAAACCAGGAGTTACTACATCTGGGAGGAGAGAAGGGTGTTGATGTTTTGTTTTAGTTTTTAAAACTTTTAAAATCAACTTTTACTACCTCATGTAAAGTGTAGCTCATAAGTATACGGATTGATGAATTTTCAGTTTATAACTACTATTCAAATTAAGAAATGGAACATATGTATTGGAACTGTTTGATTTTTTTTTTTTTCCCCCAAGCTGGGTAGTGGGCATGTGAGTATTTGTTGTGTCATTCTTTCTTCTTCTTCTTTTTTAATGCTTTAAAGTTTACCTACTGTGTTTTTAAAAAATCATCTCAGAAGAAAATACGGTCTTTAGTGATCTGGAAAATGTCAGAAAACCCACTGACTTTAGTTGTTGAGAAAGTACTTTAGGGAGCTAGGTTTTTTCCACGTAAGCCCTTGTCTCCCATGTTTGTGATAAAAGTTTAGAAGCCTGATATAGGCTCAAGTTACTGAACACTTTATTTTTTAAAATATATTTATTTGGTTGTGCCAGGTCTTAGTTGCAGCATGTGGGGTTTAGTTCCCTGATCAGGGATTGAACCCAGGCCCCCAGCATCGGGAGCACAGAGCCGTAGCCACTGGATCAGCAGGGAAGTCCTACTGAGCACTTTAAAGTGGAAAGAGAACATGAGCAGAACTGTGTGGGATCAAAGTAGTAAACATTATTAGTACTTTTTGAAATGGTACATTCTTTCTATAATTGCAGTATGGGGAATTCCTTGGAGGTCCAATGGTTAGGACACAGCACTTTCACTCTGAGGACTCAGATTTAGCCCCTGGTCGGGAACTAAGATCCCAGAAGCCGTGTGGTGTGGCCACACACACAAAGAAAGAAATACTATAATTGCAGTATAAAATGTGGCCCCTCGAATTTGTGGGCATTGAAGTGTTTTATCACTAAATCACAATGATATTTTAAGAAGGAAATTCCTTATAAATTCTGTAATGGAATATTCAAGGTATAGAAAGAAATGAGCTATTAAGATATTTATAGATATTTATATCTAGTAAAGATTTTATATCTATTGTAGAAGTTATTTGTGTAGTCGATAGAAATATGTTTAATCTTAAGGGGGTTCTTGAAATTAGTTTTCTCTCTACTTTAGTGGGGTTTTTTGTTTTGTTTTTTTTTCTTTTTGGAGTCAGTTGCTGTTCAGTTGCCGAGTTGTGTCCAGCTCTTTGTGACCCCGTGGACTGTAGCGCGCCAGGCCTCCCTGTCCCTCACCGTCTCTCAGAGTTTGCCCAAGTTCTTGCCGATTGAGTCAGTGATGCCGTCCAGTCTGCATCCTCGGCTGCCCCCTTCTGCTTCTGCCTTCAGTCTTTCCCAGCATCAGGGTCTTTTCCATTGATTCAGCTGTTCAGGGCTGTTAGTAATTGCCTTCTGCTCTTCCTTCTGAGCTGGGGGGCTTAACTTTTGGTGTTGTATCTTTTTGCCTTTTTATACAGCTTATGGGGTTCTCACGGCAAGAATACTGGAGTGGTTTGCCACTGCCTCCTCTAGTGGACCATGTTTTGTCAGAATTCTCCACTATGACCGTCTGTCTTGGGTGGCCCTGCATGGCATGACTCATAGCTTCATTGAGTTATTCAAGCCGCTTCACCACAACAAGGCAGTGATCCATGATTTGGAGGCAGGAGAGATATTTATTCCTGAAACGTGAAGATTTCTAAAATTTGGTTTATTTTCATGTATGACAAATCTTTCTGTATATCTCATTTTATGAAAGTGTTGAGTTATATTTTCAATTGTTCTCACCAGCAGGCTTTTTCTAATTAAGTTATGGCCTGATATGGTATGGCAAAGCCATTTGTAAAATATTACAAAGAAAACATTTTATAAAAATGTTTGGTCATTAGCTTTTCCTTTGCTACTGAATTTATGTGTATAAACTTATTAGAATGTTAATCTATTGAAAACTACTCACTAATGAATAATTTTGTTTCTTTTTTCTTATCCAGTAGCCAATATGGCAGTGTAGATGAATAGCTGTTTCTGGTGTATTTATGTGTATTTGGTCTTCAAAGAAGTTGTTAGGGCACGTTGAGTTTTTGTTTATTTACCTATTTTCCTTTGACAGACAGTTGAAGAAGAAATGGCTGGTCCTAATCAACTCTGCATTCGCCGCTGGACTACCAAGCATGTAGCTGTTTGGCTGAAGGATGAAGGCTTTTTTGAGTATGTGGATGTTTTATGCAACAAGCACCGACTTGATGGAATCACATTGCTTACACTGACTGAATATGATCTCCGATCTCCTCCTCTGGAAATCAAAGTCTTAGGGGACATTAAAAGGTTAATGCTCTCAGTCCGAAAATTGCAGAAAATACATATTGATGTTTTAGAAGAGATGGGATACAACAGTGACAGCCCCATGAGCCCCATGACTCCATTAATCAGCGCTCTTCAGAGTGCAGAGTGGCTCTGTAATGGGGAGCCTTCACATGACTGTGATGGACCCATCACTGATTTGAATTCTGATCAGTACCAGTATGTGAATGGTAAAAACAAACACTCTATTCGAAGATTGGACCCAGAGTATTGGAAGACCATACTGAGTTGTATATATGTTTTCATAGTATTTGGATTTACATCTTTCATAATGGTTATTGTCCATGAGCGAGTGCCTGACATGCAGACCTATCCACCACTCCCAGATATATTCTTGGACAGGTAAGTTTTCTTTCTAGTTACCAAATTTGTAGAAGATAGCTATAATAGGAGTGATGGAGTAGAAAGAACCACTCCTTATTTTATTTTTCTATGCTATATTTCTATTTTTCTATGTTATAGCTGTAATATTTTCTATATTTATGTTATAGCTTCTTGGGCAGTTCGTATTTTAAAAGGATTTCCTGGAATGTTATTTGTAATAAGTGTAATTAGGTTATTATTATTATTTTTTAAAAGATGAACAGGGTTTTGCTTTCCAAAAATGTGGGAAAGTCTCCTGTATCATCAAATAAATTAGAATTATCACAGATGCTACAAACTGATTGTTGATAGTATTCTATTGGTTTATAAATAATGCATAAAAAGAATACAGTATATTAAATGAAAAATAAGAGTAGAACAAAACTTAAAACTATTAGTTTTTATATTTGTGATTTTAAAATGTGTTTTTAGTTTTTATTGCTATCTTATTTGTTTTTATAAAATACTGTACCCTTCTGAAAGTGCCTTATAGTATATGGGGTTTTTTTTTTAATGAAGTGAATTACAGTGTCCACATTAAGGTGGCAGAATAACACATATATCACATTTTATTCTCAAGCCCTGACAAAAAGCGTAGTGAAGAAGTTATGTTTGTTTGTTGGTCTTAAATTATAAAGACAAGGAAAGGGCAGATAAGAGAGGAGAAAAGAGGCGTACATTTTTGAAAGTTTGAAAGCAGATGGGTGAGTAGCAACAAGCGGAACTAAAGTAACCTAATTCTAAAGCAGCCATCAGGAAAACTGAGAACCCAATCTATGTTGCAGATTTCTCAAAGCTCTGGATACTGTAGGTGAAAGGGTGATGCTAAAAAAAGAGAGAGAATTGAATGAAAACTGTTTAAGAAACTGTGTTAGATCCCTATATCTCCTTTCCTGTTTTATCATACACAGTTTTTCCAGCAGAAGGCCGTAAGGAAATAAAGACGACAGCATGTGGATAAGAGTACTCTAGGCAGAAGAAACAGCAGGGTGCAAAAGCCCTGAATTGTTAGTAGGCTTAGCATGTTTAAGGAACACCAATTGAGAGATGGGGAGAACAGTTGGAGATGAGATCTAAGAGCAGACAGGAATCCAGACTGTATATGTACCTGTTGACAATTGTAAGGACTTGAGCATTCATTCTAAGTGAAAAAGGAAGCCATTGAAAAACATTTAGGATAAGAGTATAGTGATCTAATGTCCATTTTAAAAGGGCACTAGAATGGTTGTTGTATTGAGAATAACATGAGAATGGGGATGGGAAAGCAGAGGTTAGTTAAGTTATTGGAATTCATTGGACAAAGATAAGGTGGATTGGATTAGGATGGTAGTGGTACACACATACATATATGTGTTGTGTGTTTGCAACAAGATTTGCTTATGGATTTGCATGTAAGGTGTAGGAAAAAGAATTCAAGGATTATTCCAAGATTTTTGACTTGAGCATCTGGAAGGATGAAGTTGCCCTTTATAGAGGTGGGAAGACTGTGGAAAGACTTCCAACTTCTTGGAGAGAAAAGTGAGGGTTTGGTTTTAGACATGTCATGTTTGAGGTGTGTTTACACCAAATCAGATGTCAAATAAGAGATGGGAAGATGTGTTAGAGTTCAGAGAGTCTGAGCTGAAATTTGGGAGTTACGAGCATAAGTACAGCTGTGATAATTGGTTAATGTCTCCTAGGTAGTGAGTTTAGAAGGGAAAGGAAGAAGTTGAAGATTGATCCTAAGAATAAGTATAATATCTAGAGGTCAGAAAAGTAAGTCAAAACCAGTAAAGAAGAAGACTGAGAAAGTCAGGGCAGAGAGAGCAAGAGAGTATTCTGGAAACCAAGTTTGTTTGTTTGTTTGTTTTTTAAATATTTTTAGAAGACAGGAATAATTTATAATTAGCTGTTTCAGATGCTACAGAGGGGTCAAGTAAGATGAGGTTAAATGACTATTGACCTTGACAAGGGCAAAAGCCTCATTGTAGTGGATTCAAGAGAGACTGTGAGACTGGAATATACCCAAAGGTATATCTCCACACATATGAAGCAGCATATGTACAAAGTTATTCATTGTGACATTATGTGTAAAAATTATAAATATTGGAAATACTATAAATGCTTATTCACAGAAAACTGGTTGAATACACTGTGGTATACTTACACAATAGAGTACTATCTAATCATAGAAAAGAATGAGGAAGATTTCTGTGAACTGATAATGAAATGGTTTGTAAGAAAAACTCAGTAGCAGTGAAGCCATGAGCATCCAGGTCATGGTTTCTGAATCCCAGTCTCTACCAAAGGAATAGACCAGGACTCCTTAGAGAAATGGCTGATTTTAAGTTTGGAGCATGGTAAGCATAAAATGAGCCTGAAATAGATCTTATGCCAGAAAGCAAGGAAGTGGAAACCAATGGAAACCTATCAAAATAACATATGATCTAGTTTTAAGGGGCTCCCACTAATCAAATTAGGACAGTCAGAACGTCAAGAAGCATAATGATGGTGAAGTGAAGTCGCTCAGTAGTGTCCAACTCTTTGCGACCCCATGGACTGTAGCCTACCAGGATCCTCAGTCCATGGGATTTTCCAGGCAAGAATACTGGAGTGGGTTGCCATTTCCTTCTCCAGGGGATCTTCCCGACCCAGGGATCGAACCTGGGTCTACCGCATTGTAGGCAGATGCTTTACCATCTGAGCTACTAGGGAAGCCCCATGATGATGGTAATGAATTATAATATACTGAGTAAGAATCTATGAACCCATAGTGATAAACAAAACCAAGAAGGAGTTCCTCAAGGGAATTATAAGGTAAGTTGAAGAGCCAAAACCAAGCACAGCACATGAACTTTAATTGGATCCTTGATCAAGAAAAAAAAAAATTCTGCTGTAAGGACATTTTAGGGATAATTAGGAAAATTTGAATATTGATTGCATATTAAATGATACAATATAACACTTAAGTGTTACAGTTTCCTGGGTATAATAGTGTATTGGGTTATAAAGAAGGTACCCTTGATCTTAGGACATATATGTTGAAGTGTTTAGAGGAGAAGTGTCATAATGTTTGCAACTTTTCAGGAAAGATTTAGTCTCGGAGAGAGAGAAAGTGTGTGTATGTGCGTGTGTAGGTATGTACAGAAAGAAAGCAAATGTGGGGAAATGTTATGGTAAACAATCAATAAATTTAAATAAAAAATATAGTGTTTGTTCTTTAAATTTTTTGTTGTTGTTGTTATGATCAGAATTTTTCAGTTAAAAAAGGAAGGGCAAAGAAATGATGTGAGAGAGAGGAGGAAAATGGGAGGAGAGAAATGGAAACAATCAAGTCTTACAGGCCCCTAAAAGTTTTTCTGTAAGGGCAGCAGAGAAATGGAGCTGTAGCTTGGAGAGGACTCACCAGGGTTTTGTTTTGGATGGACTCTACAATGTAGCGTGGCTGTTGTATTGATGATGGGAATGATCCAATTTAAGGGAAATGATATGAGAGGGTATAATTGATGGAGTAATGTCCTTAAGTAGATAAAAAGGGGTTGGATCTTGTAGGTGGGTGAGGTGGGTCTTAGTCACATGGTCTATTCATTCATAACAGGGGAGGATAGAAAATATGGAAACAGATATAAGATTGCCAATTCTGTTGGTAGAGCATGAGGAAGTACTCTGCTGATTGTCTTTATCGTCTCTGAAAACAGATTTAGAAGAGAGAGCAGGTCAGAGGTTTGAGGAGAGAGGATGAGTGTGAAATGGCCATCTGAATGAATAGACTTGTGTGATGGAGTAGCACTAAAGGCCTGCTTGAAGTTAATAGCTGTGTTGTGTGTGTCTTTACCGCTCACCTGCACAGATACAGGTATTGAGTAGGTAGATAACTGGATTTAAGCAGGTTCAAAACTTTGCTAGGCAGTACAATAAAGGAAGAAGAGGAAAGAGTGAGTATAATGACTGACTATAAACTTAGGTGGATAAGGAGGGACGGGAGGATATGAAGTAGGTGAAGGACAGAGGAAGTGTTATTAAGATCTGTGGGTTTTGGGTCTCAGAATTATTAAAGTTAGAGAACTAGGAGGAGTAAGATGGAAAAACAAGAAATGTTGGTTAGTGTAGGATTCTTGCTTCAGCTGTGAAGAATAATCTTGGTGATGACAAGATCCAATTTATTTATTTATTTATTTATTTTTTATTTTTATTTTTATTTTATTTTTTTTTTAAGATCCAATTTATAACAGTGCGCATAGGTCACTGAAGTAGAGTAGGAGAAGTTGGAGGAGAAGTAAAAAGAGGAGAAGAACAGATACGACAACAGAAGGAGCTTTGGAGAGAGTGGTATTGAACCAGAAACTAAAATCTCAAATCAGAGAATGGGTGCTGAGCTTCTGTAGATGACTATAACAAGGCATATTGAGAAAAAGAGGGGAAATGATCATGAGGATTTTATTTTAAAGTGTACATTCGTGTGGGTTTTAGTATATTTATAAAGTGTGGCTATCACCACTACTTCCAGAACATTTCCAACACCCTAAATAAATTCGTATTATCAGTCACACCCCATTTCTCTCCTCCCTCTAGGCTCTGGCAAGCAGAATCTACTTTCTGTGGATTTGTCTGTTCTGGACATTTCATATAATGGCCGTATACAACATGTGGCCTTATTTTGTGTCTGGCTTCTTTTATTTAGCATACGGTTTCTAAGGTTCATGCATATGAGTAGTATGCATCCGTACATCATTCCTTTTTATTACAGACTATTATTTCATTGTATAGATATACTGCATTTAGCTTATCCATTCATTAATTGATGAATGTTTGAGTTGTGTTCACTTTTTGGCTACAATTGATCCTTCTGCTATGAACATTCACATACAAAGTTGTGTACAGACTTATGTTTTCAGTTTGCAGTGGGGATTTGAAACCAAATTTTGCCTAACATGCTACAGTGCCACCAGCTACAAAGCCTCATGCTCTTAAATATCTAAACTTCATTCACAGGAGAATGGTAGCAGCAGCTGTGAGCATTGCTTCTATATCCACTTGGATCTCTCTTCCATTTTCTTGCACATTTATACTCCCAGCATCCAGCAGTTGTGTGTCTTTGTTAGAGGACTGCTCTTGGGCTGCTGGGATACACCTTGCCTGCTTAAAAAGAGAATCAGATGTGCTTGGAACTTTACATCCCTTAAGCAGCAGCTCTTAACCGATGATGTGAGGTGGGCTATATGTATTTCATTTCTCTTTGCCCAAGGTAGGACAACTTTTAGGTTGGACCTGCACTGTCTCCCAGATGCCCCACAGAACTGAGCCAAAGTTACCTTGCCTGAGTTTACCACAGAGGTCTGCTTGCTGGTTCACCCTTGCCTTGCCTCCTTGCCTTCCTGATCTCATTTCCCGGCTACTCTATGATTTTCCCTTGGGAACATTCCTAATTACTTTCACAGTGATCTTTGTTGTGTCAAGCTTACTTGACACAATTCCAAGAGCTTCAGCACATCATAAACAAAAAATTAGGAAACAGAGATGGTTTTAGAGGCAGGCCCACTTACATGTGAGGACAGATAGCTAATATAACAACAAGAGAGGAAACAGAAGCACTGTAAAAAGCACACATAAATAATGGAAAAACCACATCAATCTGGGGCTTAACTGGCTTTCATTTCTCAGTAGTCCCTGAGGTCATTACCTTGTCCAGTGATTAATAATCTATGTTCACAGTAATGATCCTGAATTATGAAAGAAAATTAAATTCTATCCAGAAAAAAAAAAGGAATAACATGTATATTGCATTTTAGAAAGTATTGCATCAAAATAAATGTGAGATATTGAAAACACATTTGACAATTTCCTTACAATGCTTCATTAAAAAACAAACAGGAGAAAGTGGAGATGGGGGTTCCCAGTAATCCAATGAAGGCAGAAGCAGTGATAACAATGAAAATTTATAAAGTAGAAAGCTAAGTGCCTATTGTGAGATTGAGGACTAGCAGTGCCTAAGAGATGAGTTTATTCGTACTGCGGTGCTCCAGAAAAACTTTCAAAACAAGAGACATCAAGCATCTCTCAAGACAGGGTATAGATAGTAGCTAAATATGGGAGAACTGGTTAAAAATCTATTTAAGACCTGTTCTACTGCAACTGAAGATAGGTAGGTTGCTCTCGAACATAGTTGATGTAAGGGTCTCTGGACTCAGGGACACCATTCCCAGCTGAGAACAAAGGTGCATGTTTTCATTGTATTTTCAAGGTGATTAACTATAAATCTATGGACTTATCACAAGACTTCAAGCTCCTTTCCTAACTTCCCATCCCCAGTCATAGCATCCCTAATCCTGCAAGCAAGGGAACAAATTCCTCTTCTTAGAAAGCCTGCAGAAGAGAAAAGGACTGTAGATACTGGAGGGTGCACTGACTTCAGTATTAATGGGTTGTGGCACATGGGCTCAATGGTTGTGGGTCCCCCGCTCCAGAGCACAGACTCAGTCGTTGTGGCACATGAACTTAGTAGCTCCACAGCATTTGGGGTCGTCCCCGATCGGGGACTGAACCCCTGTCTCCTGCACTGACAGCAGATTCTCTACCATTGAGCCACCAGGGAAGCTCTTGATAGTTTCTTACGAAGTTAAACACACTCTTAACATAGGACTCAGTGATGTCATTCCGAAGTATTTGCCCAAGAAAAATGAAAACACATGTCCATGCAAAGACCTGTTCATAATCACCCAAACCTGGAAACAGCCCATAATACCCATAGCTTGTGAATGGATAAGGAAATTGTGGACAAAGAATTGTACACACAATTACATAGATGAATCTGAGATATATTAAGTGAAAATAGCCCGATACAAAAGGTGTTTGGACAAACATTGTGTGATTGCCTTTATATGCCATTCTAGAAAAGGCAGACCTGTAGGCATCAGAAGTCAGATCAGTGATTGCCCCACAGCTGAAAGTAAAGAAGGAGATTGACTACAGTGAAGGGACACAAGAGAAGTTTTTGGAGTGATGAAAATGTTCTGTATCTTTCTTGTAGTGGTGATTGCATGACTGAATGTTTGTTAAAACTCATGGAACTCTATAGCTAAAAATGGTGAATTTTTGTAAATTAAACCTCAGTAAATTTGACATTAAAAACAAGTTCATCCTCTAGTCCCTCATCTGAGAAAATAATTCAGGGATACACTACATCAAAACTAAGAAGTAAATTGAGAAAGAGGAGGACATGGGATTCAGGAAATAGTGGATCCAATATAGAAAAGAAGAATTCCCAAGATGAGGGTTAAGTTTTACTCTAAGAAACGCCATGCAAAAAGAGTAGAAAATGCCGGCTTTCTAAAGAAGGAGCTCTTAGATAGATTTCTCTATCTCAATTCTCAATTTCTTGATATTGATAGAATAATCTGGAGGTGAATTGGTGATAGGCACCCAAGAAACAGAACAAAAAGTTACTAGCTCCAGAGAATTGTAAGAAGTTGTATGAGAGATTGTCTTCCATTGTCTTAACTATGAACTACACTTAAAATTTTACATTAAATAAAAGTCAAAAATTATTTGAAACAAAATTATGAAATAATATTGAGAGCATGGGAGAGAAAGAGAATGTGTGTGTGTATTTGTATGTGCTTTTGTGTGTGTTACTAGAAGATACAATGTCAAATAAAACACAATAACGAAAGTGATTGCCTTTGGGGAGCAAGAATTACATTTAGGCTGAGGGTGAGGCAAAAAACTTCCTTTTACCATAAAAACTGTGTGCTTTGTTGCTCAGTTGTGTCTTTGGGACTCCATGTCCTATAGCCCACAGGCTCCTCTGTCCATGGGGATTCTCCAGGCAAGAATACTGGAGTGGGTTGCCATGCCCTCCTCCAGGGGATCTTCCCTACCCAGGGATCGAGCCCAGGTCTCCTACGTTTCAGATGGATTCTTTACTATCTGAGCCCCCAAGGAAGCCCATACATAAATATACCTTTTAAAAAATTGTTTTAAAAGTTTAAAATTTTTAGAAGTCATTTAAAGGAATCTTTTATCTGAAAATTTGTATTATGTGAAATGACCCTTTTCCCCATAATGCCAGATAAATAAGGTGACATCAGATTAAAAATACACAAGAGGAATCTTTTTTCCTGAGGTAATAGGTAAAAGATGAGTCCCTGAATGAAGATGATCATCTCTTTTCAGTTACTCTGAATAAGGTTTGAGTGGCCTGTTAAATCTTTCAGATTTCATGTTTTCTTTTTAAGAATACCTTTAGCTCCTTAGCTATAAAATTAACGTGCCATAGTATAGAAAATTTTAGTGTAAATTAACAGAATAAAAATAAAACTATCAATAATCTTACCATTCAGTGATGACCTATTTGGACTAATTGATTTCTGTCTTCTTCCTCCACCCCTTCCTCCACACTTCTCATTCCTCCTCCTTTATTTTGCTTCCTTGTTGTTCTTTTTCTTTCTCTTCTTCTCCCCACCCCCTTCTTTCTTTTTAATTGAGAAAAGTGACACGTCTTTTACTGGTGGGTAATCATAGGCACTGTGGATTTAGTAAGGAAAGAGAGATCAATGGAAAAGACAGAAGAAACAGAAATATAAAACAAAGGAGGGCAGAGAGAGACAAAAAAAAAAGGAATAAAACAAAACAGAAACTATTTACTTTGAAAACAAAATACACTAAACAAACAAACAAAAAAGAGTAGTTGAGTTCAAGTCTTCACAGTGTGGATTCTGAAATGCACATCATTTAAGAAGTGAACCTTTCCCCCTCTTCTCGTTTGGGAGCAGTCCTGTATGTGGGTCTGTCGTGCTATGGGGAAGGAGAAAAGAGTTGTTACTTCTCTGCAGAGAACCATAACTGGAAATCACAGACAACAGAGAGCTTCAAATGAGGAATCACAGACAACAAAGAGGTTCAAATAGTTTCATAAAACTATTTTATGAAATAGTTTTTTCCCTCAGGTTCTCCAGATACCATCTTCTAAAAGAGGTAACAGTTAAAGAAAATACTTTTAAGGTCATTATTAGAAGAGTATCTTATTGAAAAGGGTGGCACCATTCGCATACATGTACTTCTTGTCAGTCCAAAAATGTAACTTTCTTCCTTTCCAGCGTTCCTAGAATTCCATGGGCCTTTGCCATGACAGAAGTATGTGGCATGATTCTGTGCTATATTTGGCTCCTGGTTCTTCTTCTTCACAAGCACAGGTACCTCTCTTATTTCATTACAAGACTGAACATGTTTTGACTATCTTACATAAAGGTCATCAAACCTTGTTTCTTCCTTTGCTGTTTCCTTCTTAATTTCCTTCTCTGGTTATTGTAATATTACAGTTATTGGTAAATTTTGAGTTTGATCAGCAAAAGTGTCAACCTGGTAGTACCTATATATTTAGTAATATTCCAAATAAATTTTTCAGGGAAAGATGGTGATATATAGCCATGGCTAACTACTAACAGTCTAAGTCTAGCCTTACCTTTCTCTGTAAGCAAATTAGGAATATCACTATCTATAGAAGGGTTGGGACCCCTCCAGGGAACAGTCTTCTGTCAGATGTTTGGGTGGAAGAAACTATTCTCTGCTTGAAGGAGGCTCATTAAAAAAGAGGTCATTTTACGCATCATGCACATCTAGCAAGTGTAGCTTAGTATAGATGATACAGGAAATTGCTGAATAGGAAAGGTGCTGCTTTTGTACTTTCACAAGAAATATATAAAGGGAAGGATTTTTTCATTAAAAAAGAAAGGAGAGAAGCAGAAGAGAAGGCTCCTTTCCTATATAATTAAAGAAGGGAAATTATTTAAAAAATTAGACATAGTGTAAAATCTAAAAAGCAATATAGATTAATTTATTTACAACAGAAAAACAGACTCACAGACATAGAAAACAAACTTATGGTTACCAAAGGGGAAGTATGTGTGAGAAAGGAGGGGTGGGAATAAATTAAGAGTATGAGATTAACAGATACACAGCACTGTAATATAAAATATATAAGCAACAAGGATTAAGGCATAGTAAAGAAAAAATTAAAGATCTGACAAAGTTTGTGGATCTGCTATCTGTTGTCTTTGGGGGAGAAGAACAAGAAGAAGAATAGGGACATTTGCTTGATATTTTTTATTCTTTCTCCTCACCAGGAGGTGCTTAAGGTAAACCACAGCGATGGGCTTTTGGTCCTAAGCAGCAGTTATTTCAGTGCTTTGAAGGTGAAAAGAAAGGTTGATGATTGCTATTCTTGTCACACTTTTAGGCCATATTGCACTTCAGTCTCTTTTACTCTGCAGGAATATTTATAACTGGATTGCTTAAAACCAGAGGTGGTTTAAAAACACGTGTATCACTGCTGCTTTCTGATTTAACTTTGCCTCACAAGACCGTGTAGATTTGAATTGATCCATTCTTTCAAAACAAGAGTTGAGTTTGTATCAGAAACCTTGGTAGGTTTGGCAAAGTGCAGTAACTCAATGCAAGTTTTGATGTTTATTTAAGTCAAACAAAATGTTTCTCAAAGGGTGGTCTTTGTGCCACGTTCATTAGAATCACCTGGGCTCTCATTAAAATCCAGGTTCCTTGTTGTCTTCCTCAGAAACCTCACAAAATGATAAAACGTGGAAGAAAGAATGCAGAAACCTTTGCTCTGGACTTTGCAGCATATGATAAAATTCTCCATAAATCCTGTGTTAAGAAATTTTTATTGCATCACTGAGCTTGCAGGAAGACAGGAAAATCCCAAAGAGCCCCAAACACACGCGTGAAGAAGAAAACAACAACAAAAAATAACCTATGATGTAAAATCAGAGGAATGAATACGCATCTCTGAAAAAAGCAGGGTTAACTAGTTGTAATGCCAAAGCTGAGATAAGGAGACTAAGCCTTAGGTATGTAACAAAGTTAAGTGGCTGATAGGAAAACTCCCAGATTAAGCTGTGGATCTTGGAATGAGCTAGAGTGTTCTTAAGTCAGTAGTGCTACTTGAGTCTCAACAAATTTAATTCTTCTCTGGATGATAGTGTATTCAATTTAGGCTCCTGTGGTTTCCCAAAACGTTGGAGAGCAGGGCCTATTAAGAAAAGTAAGAAATGGTGGACTCCTCCTGCTTTGAGTTGAGACCCTGTCCATTCAGTGTTAGTTCTCTTTCTTATCTTCTTTTCTTCTTTTTTCTAGTACCACAGCTTCAGCAGTGAACCAGAAATGAAGCAGCAGATCCTGCAGACTGAAACCTAGTTTGAAATAATTTCAGTTTCTAAAATTGCATTAAAGTGACCCCAGATAGTTAAATCCCTTAACTACTTGCCAAAAGAGATATCAAATCTCTCTTTGGGAAGACTGTGTAGACCTATCAATAAATTTAATTCTAAAATTTTTTATATACAGTATCTGGCACTCAAGTAAATAACTAATTAAAAAAAGCACACAAGTATGTAAGAGAATATGATCAAAAGTTAAGAGAAAGAGTAAATAATGGAATAGACCCACAGCAGATCCAGAAAAAACAGGTACCAGATACAGATTTTAAAGTAATTCTGCTGACTAGTATAAGTAGCTCACTCGTGTCCAACCCTTTGTGACCCCATGGACTGTAGGCTGCCAACTTCCTCTGTCCATGGAATTTCCCAGCAAGAATACTGGAGTAGGTTGCCATTCACTTCTCCAGGGATCAAACAGTCTCCTGCATTGCAGGCAGATTCTGTACCATCTGAGTCACTGGGGAAGCCACCAGGAAAGCCCCTGCTGACTATGTTCAAGATAATTTTAACAGAAGAAAATGGAAACTCTAAAAGCAAACACACTTTTTAAAATCCATGAAATTGGAATTCAGTGATGAGTATGACATCAGGTTGAATGCAGCAGAAGAGGGGATTAATGAATCAGAAGATAATTTGAAGAAAATATATTTTTAAAGATAGAAAATAGATTAAATTCGGGGGGAATACTGAGGGGATAGCCTGAGAAAGGTTTAACTTATGGATAATTAGAGTTGCTTGAGGAGAGGAGAAAGGCAGTAAAGCAGAAGTGTATTTGAAGTGAAAAAAATAAATGCAGCTTCTGGGCTCCATCCCAGGTGCACACACTGCAGTTTGAAACTTACCTAACCTTGTGTTCAGGACTCTTTTGAGGGTGGGTGGGAAGAACATTTTAAAAATGTATAAGCAAAGTCTCTGTACTTAAGAATCTTCTGATCTGTTTTTGCTTAAGATATTAAAAAAAAAATTAATAGTATGAATGATTTCATGCAGTTTAAAGTTTTTGTTAGAGATGTACTTAATGTAAAACAGTATTAAACAGTATTTTATAGCTTAAATTTAAGAGAAATTAGAGAATGTTTGTTATATAATTAGTTATTAACCAATTTACAGTGTCATTAATGAGCAAAAACATTCCCTAGAATCACATATTTAACTTTACTTCTCATTAAGTAAATGTTATGACAATATATGAGTAATAAAACTAACACTAAGCTAAGTGTCAGGCGACGGACTATCTTACTTCTCTCGTGTAACTTTTGCTTTCTCTTAGTCATGTTTTCTTACAGTAAAATGATGCTCTTACGTCTGCGCTGTCCAACATGGCAGGTGCTAGCCACGTGTGGCTGTTCAAATTTAATTTAGTGAAAATGAAATAAAATTAAGTTCCTCGCTTGTACATTCTGGATGCTCAAGAGCCACATATAGATGGTTTATTGGACAGTGCAGATATAGTCCATTTCCATCATTGTGGAAGGTCCTGTTGGACACTTGGGTTACATGGTCTCTAAGATTTCTGTCTTTGAAGAATCTAATGGTTTTCCTGCTTGTTCTCCCTCGAAGTAGACATTAGTTGCCTGGGGATATTTTGGTTTGTTTTCTTCTGATCTTTCTTCCTTTTTGGTCACTCTGTTCACAGGTCCATACTTCTGCGAAGGCTCTGTAGTCTGATGGGCACTGTCTTCTTGCTTCGCTGCTTTACCATGTTTGTGACCTCCCTGTCCGTGCCAGGACAGCACCTTCAGTGTACTGGAAAGGTAGCCTGCTGTCTTCTTAACCGTTTTTCCCTCTTACTCTCAGTGTGAGGATGGCTTAGATGTATGTATGAACCAAGGCTTAGATTTTGCTTTTAATATTATTAATAAAATGTGCTTTTTAGCATTTTGTATATCGGTAATAAACATGTAGGAATCACGTGGTAACAGTCTTAAGCCAGAGTCTGCCTCCCTGTTACTTCTATCCATTGACCCTAACTAGTTCAGTGCTGTAGAGCTACAGAAAAAAGGTAGCTTTCAGTGATCATTTTTCCTTTCCCACCATCCTCAGCATCTTCAGTTACTCACACTACATGACTCTGGACCTTTCCCTGTCTTCATCACTCCTCTTTAAAAAAGTGCTGCGGGGACTTCCCTTGGTGGTGCAGTGTTTAAGACTCTGTGCTTCCACTGCAGGGGGCACAGATTTGATCCCTGGTCAGGGAACTAGATCCCACATGCCACAGCTAAGACCTGGCCCAGCCGAATAAAATAAATAAAGTATTAAAAAAAAAGAAGCATTGCAGTTCAACCATACTCCATTTAAAATGTAGTACCCACTACTCTAAACTTCACTCTTTTGGAAATGTATTTAAATAATGGCTGATTTTTTTGTTTTTGTTTTATACTTTATAGGTTGTTTTGGTGTACTGTGGACATACCTTCTCTTCTGGCTATATTGAGAGAGGATAGCTTATACAGATGGGAACCAAAAAACTAATGAATTATTAAAAAAATTTTTTTTTTAAATCCTGAAGATATTTGTGCTTTGTATACAAAATTGGCTGTTGAGACTCATTAAATTTGGACAAAAGGATTTGTTAGCCTTCTTTTCTAAGCCTCCATGCTTTAGTTATGTGTTCCCAAATATTTGAATAATACACTAACACATTTCTTGTTATTTTAATGTTATTTGTAAAGTGTAAAACAAATTGTCAGTTCATCTACTGCAATATAAATAGTTGAAATGCCGAGGAGGGAAGATTAAGCAGCTAAAGGAGATCATGAACTAAAAATACAGCTCTGAGCTGAAGGGTATATAAACTTTCTCGAGGTATAAGGAGACTGACCAGTAAGAAAGGAGGAAGGGGTAATGACATTTAGGATTTAGTGTAAAGGAAATCTTTTATTTTTTTAAGGTAAAAGATGCTTTTGTTTCTTCTTTTTTTTTTCTAAAAAGGGAAAGTACTTCTAGCTACCAAGTTACATAAACTTATTGTAAAATTTCAAATTTTATAAAAATATGTAAATTAAAAATTCCCTCTTCTTTCACCCCACCCCATAAATAATACTGTTAAAAGTTGTTTATATAGCCACACAGACTATTTTTAACCATGCTTACACATTCACACAAGTTTGTATAGATAGATGCTTTTTTTTTTTAGATAGATGCTTTTTAAACAAAAGATAGGATTATATTGCAGACATTGTACTTCTGCTTATGTTTTACTTAACAATGTGTTGTTTACTTTTTTCTGAAAAAATGCATGTATTATACCTCATCTTTTTAATAGCTGCAGAGTATTCCATTGTATGATTTACCACTGTCCAAGTGGCATGCATTTAGGTTATTTTCAAATCTTACTCTTTATAAATAATGCTATCATAAACATGCTTTTTCATTTATTTAATGGTCTTAAGATAAATTCCTGGAAGTGGAGTTATGAAATTAAAGGACATAACAATTGTGATACATACTGCTGAGATTTTCACTAGGAAAGACTAGTTTTTCACTACTGTCACCACACTGCATGTCGGTTTTCCCATCACTGTGCCAGTAGTACGTTTTATCAATTTTTGGAGTCAGCTATCATTATGGTTAATGAAAAATGATATCTGAGACTTTTATGGTCTTATATTTTAAATTTAAATCTGTAATTTCTTGACTGAAATAAAAATGCACAGTGTGAGCACTTTGACTTTGAGACCAGTCTTTTAGGAACTATGCTAAAGAAGTAAAGGAAGCGGTTAGCATATATGTGATCTTGGAGAAGGTGATCGAGCCACACATCTTGGTAGAAGGTTCCTGCTAGGCATGAGGAACAGATGTCTCAGTCAATGATTTTAGTGCTTTTCTAAGTATGGGTGCAAGAAATTGGGTTCATAAAATTTTCTCCTGGGGTGGGAGTGGGGGTGCTCGGCGATCTGTCCTGAAGGCCTATTCTGTCTGTTTTCGCAGAGCACAGAGTACCTCATTCCTGATCTCTGTCCTGATGTCCTTTCAGTGTATGTTGAAGGTCAGGGACTTCAGTGGCTAATGACTTAATTCTTGTACAACTGGATGGCAAGTGACATTCTTTAGTTAGGAAATCTGCTGAAGTTCTGTGCACAGTGTGAAGGAGAGATTTAAAAGAAAAAATAAGTAAGCTTGTTACAGTGAAAGGAGAATTCCCTATAGCTGAGGAATTTAATTGCAGGTCAGCCACTAGAGAAAAGGATATATATGCATAGGGCTGCAACATGTGTTACAAAAATAAATTAGATACCATCCCTCTACAATATGGACAGCCCTTTTTCTGTCTCTAATGACAGTTTTTCATTATCAGTTAGCTTAAGGTGGGTATACCTATTCAGATCTGCCCTAAATACTATTTAATTGCTTTGAATTATAATATAACCTATTTATTGACCTGTATTTGCAGCAGTCATTAAAATTAGAAAGTTAAGATAATATTATCTATCAGTCAGATCCCTTACAGTGAACTCCATAGGGCTTTTACATTGTAATAAAGTAATTGCTTGAGATCTCATTCCCAAAAGTAGTGGGTTTGGAGACAGAACCAAGAACATGCCTGGTTTTTTTTTTTAATTTAGTGATGGAAAGGAAAGAAACAGTTAAAGCAAATTTCTCATCAAAATGTCTAAATTCATTCTATTGTGTTTCATTTTTTATTTTTCTGGAAAGATATTTGGGGCATTTTACGATTGGAAAGGATAGGGAGACAAGTAATTGGGCAGTGATTGCTTTTCTTTTTTGTACTATAATATTTTTCTTTAATTTTTTGGAGTATAGTTGATTTACAGTGTTGTGTAATGATTTCTTTTTTTTTTGACTGGCATCTCTTGTTTCCTGTCTTTGGCTGAGATATTTTCCTAGCAATCTGTTCTTCACTGCTTGATTTTTTTACTCTCACTTGTGTAACATCTCTAACCCTGTTCTCATTAGAGGTCATGGAAATAAGCAAACCATGTATATTTTAGTATCTCCTTTCCTTCTCTCTGATAATAAATTTCTCTCCCTCTCCTGCCATCAACTGAGACAGAAGGGGGAAACTAGGTAGTGTATAATCAGGTGAGATTTCTAATGAAATGGCGATTCTAATGAGATTGTTCCTCTTGTTCATTGGCCATAGGTTCTTTAAGATATAGGCTCTAGAACTGGACTCCCTCTGTTCACATCTTTATTACTTATTAGCTGTGTGACCTCTCTGAAGCCAGTTTCCTAATCTATACAGTTAAATCAGTTCATACAATTTTTGTGGAAATTAAATGCAATAACATAAAAGCATATAGTAGCATGCTGCACATAGGAAATGCAGATAAAATTACAGTAATTTTTTATATTGTTATTATGTGTTAAATACCTTTTTAAAAAAGTGACCATTGCTCAGACTCTTCCTCAAAATGGATTGCTTTTTTAAGTTTTATGTGTGGGGGTTGGGATTAGATTTTGCTACTAATAACAGTAACTTTAAGGTGGCTGGAGTTTAATAAACAAGCAATGATTTATTCTCTCTCATAAGAGAAGTCTGAAAGTAGGTACTTCAGGTCAGGTGTGTGGTAACTTTATGGAGTTATCAAAAATCCATGATTCCTCTGCCTTTCTGCCCTCCTATCCTAACACTTGGCTTGCATCCTCAAGGCCACTTTGTAGCCGTGGTGACTGCCAGAACTTTAACTGTCATGTCTGAGTTGTAGGCTGGAAGAAGGAAAGGTAGAGAAGACTTCTTCCAAGCTGGTGCCTCTTTCATTGATAAGTAGCCTTCCCAGAAATCTTCTATACTTTCCTTTCCATCTTACTGTACAGACTTAGTCACTTAGCCACACCTAGCTGCAAGGAAGGATGAGAAATGCAGTGTTATAGTTGAATTCATCACCTCTTCTAATTGATTTTAGAACTGTTACTACTGAAGAAGGGAGAGTGGATATTGAATGGTAGCCATTATCTCTGACATAGCTTGTTATTGTCAAGAACAGGCAAGCAAATACTACTGTGTTATAGGGTATAAAACTTGGCAATGCTTTTGTGCTGTAGTAAGCTTTTAATTTCCATTGGATCATAGAAAAAGCAACAGAATTCCAAATAAACATCTACTTTTGCTTTATTGACTACTCCAAAGCCTTTGACTGTGTGGATCATAACAAACTGGAAAATTCTTAAAGAGATGGGAATACCAAACCACCTTACCTGCCTCCTGAGAAACCTGTATGCAGACCAAGAAGCAACAATTAGAACCGGACATGGAACACAGACTGGTTCCAAATCGGGCAAGGAGTACCTCAAGGCTGTGTATTATCACCCTGCTTATTTAACTTCTATGCAGAGTACATCTTGTGAAATGCCAGACTGGATGAAGCACAGCTGGAATCAAGATTGCCGGGAGAAATATCAATAACCTCAGATATGCAGATGACACCACCCTAATGGCAGAAAGTGAAGAGGAACTAAAGAGCCTCTTGATGAAGGTGAAAAAGGAGAGTGAAAAAGGTGGCTTAAAACTCAACATTCAAAAAACTAAGATTATGGCATCCCATCCCATCACTTCATGGCAGATAGATGGGGAGACAGTGAAACAGTGGCAGACTTTATTTTCTTGGCCTCTAAAATCACTGCAGATTGTGACTGCAGCCAAGAAATTAAAAGACACTTGCTGCTTGAAAGAAAAGCTATGACCAACCTAGACAGCATATTAAAAAGCAGATACATTTACCTTGCCAACCAAAGTCAAAGCTATGGTTTTTCCAGTAGTCATGTATGGATGTGAGAGTTGGACTATAAAGAAAGCTGAGCTCTGAAGAATTGATGCTTTTGAACTGTGATGCTGGAGAACACTTGAGAGACCCTTGGACTGCAAGGAGATCAAACCAGTGAATCTGCAAGGAAATCAATCCTGAATATTCATTGGAAGGACTCATCAAAGCTGAAGCTCCAATACTTTGGCCACCTGATGCAAAGAGCTGACTCATTGGAAAAGACCCTGATTCTGGAAAAGATTGAAGGCAAAAGGAGGAGGGGGAAGCAGAAGATGAGATGGTTGGATAGCATCATTAACTCAATGGACATGAACTTGAGCAAACTCTGGGAGATAGTGTAGGACGGGGAAGCCTGGTGTGCTGCGGTTCATGGGGTCACAGAGTCAGACACGACTGAGCGACTCAACAACAGCCTTTTCATTGTAAAGGAAGTCCTAGTAGAGAAGTTTGAATTGCACTGATTTCACTATATGTGTGCTCAGTTGCTTGGTCATATCTGACCCTGTGACCCCATGGACTATAGCCTTCCAGGCTCCTCTGTCCATGGGATTCTACTGGCAAGAATACTGGAGGAATGGGTTGCATTTCCTGCATTGACAGGCAGGTTCTTCACCACTGCGCCACCTGGGAGGCTATTGATTTCATTAAATTACCAGAATATTTCTGAGTAAGCCAAGCTTTGACCACCCATTATTGGTGTCTGCAGTTAATTACAGTGGGAGTCTGGTTGATTTTGCTTAGATCTGTCATTCAGTCTTTGAATTTCAGTGGGAGTGGTAAGAGTCTCTACTGCCATAAGCATTTGAAGCACTAATTCTTAGCTCTCTTTATAGGTATATGGCAGTGTATGGGAGAAGTTACACCGGGCCTTTGCCATTTGGAGTGGCTTTGGGATGACCCTCACTGGCGTCCACACTTGTGGAGATTACATGTTCAGTGGCCACACGGTCGTCTTGACCATGCTGAATTTCTTTGTCACTGAGTGTAAGTACCTCTTAAGTGCTTCTCGGCGCAGCGAGTGACTAGTGCAGGAGGCTGGGGAAGGGCGTCAGATTCTGTGAAGAGTGGGAAAAACAGGCAGGTCTAGGAAACATGTCACTGAGAAGCATTGGGAGAACTGTTGGAAGAAATGATTTTAAAATGCTCTTTCTGTCCTTTTCTCAGATACACCAAGAAGCTGGAATTTCTTGCACACTTTATCCTGGGTTCTCAACCTCTTTGGAATCTTCTTCATTTTGGCTGCCCATGAACATTATTCCATTGATGTGTTTATTGCCTTTTATATCACAACGAGACTCTTTTTGTACTACCATACTCTAGCCAATACCAGAGCATATCAGCAGAGTAGGAGAGCAAGAATTTGGTTTCCCATGTTTTCTTTTTTTGAATGCAATGTTAATGGTACAGTCCCAAATGAATATTGTTGGCCATTTTCAAAACCAGCAATAATGAAAAGACTAATTGGATGAAGACTGTCTTTGTAATGGGCTCATGACTAAAGATGCAGTCATTGTTGAAAGTAACTTTGTTTTCTCCCTCCAGGTTGTTCCTGAATGTCTTGCTTTTTTCCCTATATGTTGACAAAGTTCTCTGTCCTGAGCAAGGCTGTGACCATAGAAAGCAAATAAGAACAATCAAGAGTCCTTACCTGTCTGTCGAACAGAAGTTTAAGTAGATGTTTTCTGCCCCTTCTCTTTAGGCAGACTTAATATTATGATTAAAGTCAGGCTCTTAGCTTTGCCTTTTGAGTATTTGCCTGTTGAACTTAAGCTAATCAACTTAAGCAGTTTGCTGGTTGAAAGATGTAAAAAGAAAAAAAAAATTCCAGTAGGACTGTAGGCAAGAAGTACTGAGAAGAATACTAATAATTTTTTAGGCTCCTTATTTTCTTCAAAGGAAAAACCCCTACCCAATGAGCAGTACTTGTTCTTTGAACTAATCTCCGTGTCTTTCTGAAAAAACGCAACTCTGGAAAGTGATCCATTTTACTGGCAAATTAATTTTTGCCTCTGAACTGACTGTAAGAAAAGTATACTGAATATACCAGGATCCTTGAAACGAGAATGAAAGAGGCCATATATAAGATGACAAAGTACAAGTATAACGCTAGCATTTTTTCACCAAAATTAACAAAAGATTCGGTTCTATTTTGTTCTAAGGGTTTAGTATGATCATCAGTAAGTATTCATGAGGGAAACAGTGTCTGAATCCATAAAAATAAAATTGGCTTAATTTTAGTGATGAAAGTACCTGGAATAACTTTGTGCTGTGACTGTTAACCGGATAAATGACAGCCCAGTTTTATGCTTTTTAATGATGTTATTTAATGAGCAAAATGAGAGTTTTTATCAGATGTTAGATAAAGTTCTTATGTCCTTAAATGGGGATGTTTGCATGCAAATTTTTCTCTTTCTGAAATTTATAACAGGTTGCAGGCATAATATAACTATTTGGTTTTTGAAATTTCTCATCTTGACCATCAGAACTAAGCAGCCTCAGACATATTTGGATATGAAAAGGTTTTGTTGTTTTTTATTTTTAAATACAATTGTGTACATACATTCTTTCTCTTTAGCTTTAATTTGGCAGTCAGGAGTAATATAACTTAGTTGCTGTTTACAACACTAGAAATTTAGTACCTTAAGTAATTTGACTTCTGTGATAAGCTTTGTCACTTTAACTTTTAATGATTTTGTACAGTAGTTCTGATAGTAGGATGGTTCTAGAATTAGAAATTGAACCCCAACTCATGAGCTTAGCCACTTGGAATATTAATTGTGTAGTTTTGCATTCAATTTTAAAACAAGGAGTTAGAAAAGGTGCTGGCATATTAACATGCTGTTGATACAGTGAAATATTTTATTTTTGCACTTTGAGTCATATTCCCACCCCCTATAAGTTACAGAGGAGCCTGAGTGGATTGGGCAGGAAACAAATACAATGCAAGCAAGTTTCAGCTAGTGCTGAATGACCCCAGTTTGTGTCTTCCCTGATATTGTTTTTTTTATTTTTCACTTGAGAAAATGTCATGAGATAATTTAGTTTTATTATGCTTTTAAATCTCATACTTTAGAATCTGATAGTACCTTGAACTGTTGATTCTGTTACATTCTGGGGATGAAAATGCCAACATTTCATCCAAGGAAAGTGCATAATCATGACGGTTGAAGGATGTTTCCTGTGCAGTTAGAGTAGTTTGACCCTTGAATTCAAAAGATACATAACATCCACTTTTTCCAAATGACAAAAGAAGCCTGAATTTAGCTAGGAAGGGACTGATGTTGGCTTTTGGGAAAATGTTTGGAAAAAATCCGTGCACCATTAATTCAAGAATGTTGAATAACTACTTAATGGTAAATTTCCTAACAGCAGTCTTCTTTCCTCCATATGGATTTTATACTAAAACAAAACAGGAAAAAAAAAATTACAACTAAGTTTGCAGAGCTATTGATACTGAGAGTGCCTAACAGCAGACTGCAATGAGGAGTATAAAATAACTTCCCAACCTCCCTTTTGCCATATCCGTTTTGAGGGAAAGGTAAGCTAGATCTATAATTTATTGTTATAACTATTACAAGGCAGTGTTTACATAATCATCTCCAGGTCTCTTCCTTGAAAAGCTTTGAGACAACATTTTTTCCATTTCTTTTTTTAATACAAAACATATTTTTGTTACTTATTGTTTTGTCCAGAAATTTCCAGATTTTGTCTTTGTATCTTTTTTCTTGTAACAATTTTGTTAAAACCATAGTGAAAGTAGAATTTACATTTTGACTGTGACTGTGGCTAGGTAGAGAAGCTGCATGCCTTAGATCTACAGAATTTTTACCTTGTATGCAGTTTCAAACATGTGAGAGGTTTACCTCATTAAACACTGAGACTTCAGTATAGAGGGAACCAAGGCAATTTTTTGTTCAGGGATGCAAACTGGAGGTTATACTGAAAGTCTTCCATGCAATTTCTGTCTTCTTAGGGGCAGCATTACCTTTTTTTCTTTTTCTTAAATTCCTTGCAGGACAGTGTTACTGAAGGCTAATTGAAGTTTATAGAGAATATCAGGTTTAGAAGAAGGCAAGTTTGCTATTATCACCACATAACTTGGGAGAAGCTCTCTCTGGCTGTGCTGCAGAATTTTCAACATGCCTGTCTTCTCTATAGTCCTCTGTAGCCAGAATCGCTTGGGTTAAAATACACCTTCCGTGTGCTAGGTCTGTTTATTAGTGTCACTTTAAATCGGAACATAGTGAACTCAGCCACAGAGCCAATCAGTTAAAGAGTGTGGACTGTCCACAGGAAGAGCTCCACGCTAGAGACCTGCTGATAATGTAGCTTTGGCACTGCAAGTGGCATTCTTCCCTGCCCTGTACCTGCTTGAAATTCTTACTTAAAATAATAAGGACAGAGGTGCCAAATCCTTTTATAGCTAATATGAGACCCTGTGTTTTGAGGACACTTGTTTGGAAAGTGTTATGTATATATTCAAAATGATATTCATAACACTAACCTGCTTTGTCTGTATTCAGTAGAAAAGCAATTTCATTGTCAGTTTCATAGTAAACTTTTTTAAAGGAGTCTTGTTCCATAATGTTCTAGAACATTAACCATATTCTTATTTTAAACTCTTTAATAAATTTAATTCTTTGATTGTCTTGTAGACTTAAATTATCTCTTACTAAAAGTAATTATAGTAACAATCATTTGCCAGTTCTTTGCAGGCATTTGAGAGAGGATAACTTTTTTAGAATAGTATTGGTTTCATTTCTTAAACAGTATTGGTTTCATTTAGAGAGTTTCAGAGCCAACAAAGCATGTCAACTTTAATACCACCTTTACTTGGTTATTACAGTTTGCATTTGTGAAATGTTTAATCTGAATTATCCCGTACTGCTGTAGAGGAAATTGTTAGTAACATCAAAAGTCAGACTGTTGCTACAAGTGACCAATGAGAAAGGAAAGAGGTTGAGGGTTTTTTTCCTTCTCTTTTAGTAGCTTTGAATGACTGAAATTACTATGGAAATAGGTTTTGGTGCCCCTCTGGCCTATTCCTCACCCCCAGCAAAGACCACCAATTTCAAGTAACTAAAATGTGGCCTATTATTTTGCATTAAGTTGAATTAAAACATTTGTGCAATCTGTAAACCATAATTCAGCTTCCCCAAAAGTTAATTTTTTAGACTATGTTCTACCTTATATTAGCCAAGGACTTTTTCTCTATGTACTCCATGTTTATGCATAAAGAAGTTTTGTACCTAATATGGAAGGAGAGGGAATACTATGTTAATTTTGCTGTTATTTCAGATCTGTTTCAATCTGAACTACTGGGTTGTCTGAACTCATGAAGCATTGTTACCAGTTAGTAATACCATCTTTAAAATGCTCAATTTTAATAATTTTTTATTCAGAGAATCTATGACTTGTTAGGACAATTGAAGTATTTCTGATATGAAACAAAAGAAGTGGAGGCTGATAATGGGGGAAGCAAAATTAGCTTGGGCTAAAATGGGCATGTTTTGTTCTATGAATTCTACCTAAATGTCACCCAGTGTGCAGAGAAACTAGTATTACTTGAAGATGTGAAAGTTCCTGTGGTAGCCATACCTTGAAGCACAGTATTGTATATAAGTAAATATCTCAATTCTAAATTAAATCCAGATTTAACTAATATATATTATTTTATATCTTTGTTGTATTAAAATGTTTAAAAACACTAAAAATAAAACATTTGAAAATTGGATTATAGTCTCTTCTTTAAATGTCTTTGCATTATTAATGCAGCTGCTTTATTTTTTATACAGTGAATTTTTTATTTTTGCAAATGATTGGGTCCTGCAACTTTAAATATTAATGTATTGTCTAGTCCCTGGCATGTACTGCTTCTTAGTTGTCTATTAGATAAGCCATTTGCCCTTTCTCCTTTCTTTTCCATAAACTAGGGAAAGAAAAGTAATATTCCTGATGGTTTAAGAATAATTGTAGATTAAGTTGAGAAGGAGGAATGGGAAGCAAACAGCTACTTACTTATTCCTGGGCACATTAAAGTTTGTGTCTGTTGGTTTTGCATTTATTTTAATTGTAGATTTTATAAGAAGGTACCATCATCCTGTTGGATCAGCTTTGGAGGTAATGATAAATAGGAAAAGAAGAGAAAATAGTTGTTAGGGGTAGCCCAGCAACTCAGGAGCCATGGAAACACCAAACAAATGCGCTGCCCCCTGCTGTTGGCTGGTGTAATGGGAATGTAGGATATGATATACTTTGTATCCAAAATGGTCTGTCTTGTGCCAATGCACCTAACCTATTGAAATGCTGAACTGCCCCGCATTAAGTGGTGTGGGAGCCAACTCTGGGAATACTAAGTATTGTCACAGGACCCTGCTGCTGCTGCTGCTAAGTCACGTCAGTCATGTCTGACTCTCTGCGACCCCACAGATGGCAGCCCACCAGGCCCCTCTGTCCCTGGGATTCTCCA